AGATGCTTGTAACTCACGCATGAGATTTTCATAGTAATCGTAGTCGGCGTCGTAGATGATTCTGTGCCCGTCACGTTGATTGAACCGGCTCAATCGACAGGTGTGATAATGCTCGGAATAGACCGCGCTCCGGCACTGAAAGCTCGTCTGTCGAAGACACTCGTCGAGGCATTCGCTGAGGCTTCGCCCGGTTATCTCCGAGTGAAATTCGCCGCTCAAACGGGAGTTCCGATAACGTTGAAACGCCGTGTCGGGCCGTCGCCCGTCGGAGAAGAGGTGCGACGTCGAGCTGCTCTCCGGGTACTCGGAGCCACGTGCTATGGACGGATCTACGCTTCGTAAGTGGGTATTGGTAAACTGTTGCGAGGTGATAATCGATCTTAGGACAAAAACGTGTTCGCTAGATGTAAGAAAGTATTCGGACACTGCTGGGAAAATTGAAAATTGAATCTGGGAGGCAATTTTATTATTCTTGGCAAAAGTCAAGAATAAAAGATATCGATCTGGATATTTATCAGGATATCGATCTGGATATTTATCTGGATATCGATCTGGATATTTATCTGGGTAACGATCTGGATATCTGTCAGGGTATTTACTCGGATATCGATCTGGGTATTTGTCAGGGTATCGATCGGGATATCGATCGGGATAATGATCTGGATAACGGTTATCTGGATGTCTGTCTGGGTAACGATCTGGGTGACGGTCGGGATACCGATCGGGATAGCGATCTGGCTTCACGCTACTACTGTACCCTTTATCGTAGTCCTCTGGGTAGCCTGTTAAGAATTCAGGGGAATAAAGTTTCCATCATACTAACGAAGATCTATAGTCTGCTGATTGAAATAAATAAAGGAACGATTAATTAGACAGATAAATATGTATTGAATATGTTACCAGGTCTGCCTAAGGAAGGTCGTCCGAAATTCGTATCTTGTCCCAAAGGATCTGGTCTGTAGCTTGGACCATCTCTGTCTCCATCCAAGTATTGGTCTGTTAATTATATTTGTTACGTTATATTATAAATAAAAGAAATGTCGAATATTATTAGGTGAAGTAAAAAGTTCTGAGCCTTTTTTGTCTTTATTTCGACGATGAAATTGACTTCTTGAGACCAGCCTTATGCAAATGGTTCCAAAC